TCACGCCAGCGACGCCCGCTTTCTGTCTCACTTCCAGACTTCCTCCAATCTTTCTTGTCATCAGATCCCTCCGTACGCCAAGCCTCCTTCACACCCGAATCAGCAGAGCTCCCAAGAGAGAGAGAACTTGGTGCCCGCATTTCCTATAATCATAATAACTGAAGAGATGAGTTTTTTCTATTTGTAGATAGATTTAATATGGCAAAACACAGCAGTGGTGCCGTGGTAGAGAGAAATACTTAATAGTGTTTGTTGTATATTAACTAACATGAATATCAAGGGAGCTACTAATGCCAATATAAAAAAGGCATGAAAAAGAAAACTGAGAGACTATTCATGCAGAGTGTATTTCATTGATCTCATGTCCATAAATATATCTACAAGTAATGTTTAATCGACTAAAAACACTCACCATCTTACTCTCGCCTGGTTTAGAATAGAGCCACTGAGGAGACAAGGGGATGCTGTTGTCCAAAGCTGCTTGATCTTTATATGAACAAACAAAAAGCAAAAAATGTGAAGTCAAGAAAAAGACTTGGGGGAAGTTAGTAACCCAAAGAAAACACTCCCCAAACTGTTTACTTATTGACCAAATACTACAGACCACAATCCATGGATAAAAGCTACCTTTGGGATCATAACCGGTCATCTTATCTTCACCATTCCCTCCAGAAAATTCCACTGTCATGACACAATTGCATGTTAAAGATAAGAATAATGGGGGAACAAATTTGGCAAAGCAAGAGTAAACAAAAGCATTTAACACCACATCGCATATCTATATCATGCTTTTAAAGAGTATTCTAATACAATACAAGTTACTGTTGAAAGAAAAGCATATAAACCTGTCTACATATGAAAATTTTAGAATTGCATAAATTTCAGAAAAACAGTGTTGCCTTGTTTTGTCCTAAATAACAACACTTGTACAGCATCCTTATATCAAACTCTAAGCCTTCTGTTTCCTTCACTTTTATAAAACAAGAAACTCAAACTCTTTTACCAATCCAAAACACAGCAGGCTTGGACTGTTATATTGCAATCTACCAAATAAAATGACAAAAATCTCTCCGAGTACTCAACCATGTCTGTTGAAACGAGCATAGCGCTAAATCAAGCAAGATGTATTACTGTGTTTTACTATACAAACTAATGAGACAAATGGAGGCAGACAGCGAAATGAAGTGTTAGATCTATAACATTTGGTAGTGTAGAAGAACTTTAACTTTCTGATATCACACTTAGAAATGAAGAGATCTAAAAGGCCTGCGCCCACAAATCAAAAGGAAAAAAAATCATAAAGCTGTCAAATAGGCCGAAACTCAAATCATCTTCCAATATAGCGAATACCTGTGATCAAATAGAAGATTCATTCTACAAGTGTGGGTACATTTGCTGGAAATGAAATTCAGCTATGATATGATCACACATACTACCAACTACTCAATTATAGATGCAATCAAATAAACCCGAACTGATAAGAAATGAAATTCAGCTATGATATGATAACTTTCAGTTCAGAAAATTTGCAAATCTGGATTCGCTTTTCAACAAATTTTGAAGAAAAAAATGCATATATCATTGTGACCAACTGTAGATTAAGTAAACATATATAAGTTATAATCTGAAAATCCTTGATTCAAAGAGATAAACAATGTAGATGCAGTCAAATTGCAGTAGCATCACAAATCCCATTACGTACAGATCAAATAAACCCTATCTTAACGTGAACCCAAAGAATTCGCATCCATTAACTACGGAAGATTCGGAAAAGGCCGGGCGATAAGAGATTACCTTTAGAGGTCCAAGAATGATCAGAGTGTTTGGAGGAGAGAAGATCGTCGGGAAGATCAAGCTTGCCTTCAGCCATCGAACGGTCAATGAGAGAGGATCCGTTTGGAGATTGAGGGATGAGAAGGAGAAATAGAATTAAGAAGGAGATTGAAACGAATGGAAGCTCGAGAGAGAGAGATTCGTAGTTAGGGTTTCGAAATCGAAAAGCTTCGGTAGACACTGGCACAGAGCGAGATTGGGAGAGGGGAGAAATGGGGCGAGGGTTTGTATGGTGGTAGTAGAAATCCGGATTTATTAACTCTTTACGTCATCAACTATAGGATTTGCCGATCAAGATTTTTTAAAGCCAAAAGCAAAAGAGTTTTTCCAATTACTTTCTTGTTGCCACATTCATAAATTAATATTCTTAACATAAGCTGCTATGAATAAACTTTTTTATAAATTCTTTTTATACATAATTACACAGATGGTCCCTGTGGTTGGCACAAGAGACCAAAGATAGTCCTTATGAGGAATTTTGAACGAGTATGGTCCCTGTGGTTCCCAATTGTTGCACGGACAGTCCTTATGACTGACTCCGTTTGATTGTTGCCGTTTATCAAGATCACGTGACCCTCACACGAGGGTATTTTGGTCTTTTGCTTTATTACACGATTTGATCATATTCATAAATGATCCTTACAGCCAGCTATCATTTACATTACCCCAAGAAATCGACCCTTTCTTCTCCCCTTTGGTTTTTCATCTTCATCACTTCAAAACTCAAACGAAAACTAGGGTTTTCATCTTCATCTTTTGCGATGGTTCTAACTTTGTGGAATGTCCATTCAAAATTCTCAGAAAATCCTGACTTGATCAAAGCTTATGGTGAGTGATCAGTTAACAACGTTCAATTTTGTTAAGTAATTTATGCACATTCAATTTTGAGACTTCATTCTTTCCTCATATCATTATTTATTTGTTTTTCAGTTGGGTTAAGTAGTTTATGCACATTCAAGATTCATCATGGGGGTATGTTCACAAAATACCCAGGAAGACGTTACGTATATGGGAGTATTGACTATGTTGACTACGTAGACATGGGCGTGTTTTCCGTACATGAGTTAGACAATATGTTGAAGGAGATAGGTTATATCAATGGTGAGCCTATCTACTACCACTTGTTGATTCCAGAGATTGAAATCGATTATGGGTTACATCCTCTAGTTAACGACTCAGACGTACTTCTGTTAAGTAAGCATGTCGCTAATCACAAAGAGATTATGGTGTATACTAAACATGGAACTACTAGACTCCATACATACTTTATGTCTCCAAATAAGGTCGTATTGGAAGAGATAAACGAGCCTATTTCTCCTGAACTCAATCGAAAAAAGTTTATCGGTACAGAGGTAGGATCATGTAGTAGAAAATTGGATTTGAATGAGAACTATGACTTTTCTAGGTCCATTGTACCTTTTGGACATTTTGTTGGAGATGTAATGAAAGATGCTGAAGTTCAAGCTGTATGTGAGAAGCTTAACAAAGTCCAAGATGTTGGTATTTCAGAAGACTTTGATCTTTTCTTTTATATGGATCATAATGATTACCAACAGATGAGGGACAAAGATTTAGAATATTGTGGTGATAGGGTGGTAGAAAATGAAGAAATTGGGGATGTTAGTAGTGACGAGAGTAGTACCGATGGAAGTATAAGCGAGGATAGTGACTTTTTAGTGGATGAACTTAATATGGTGGAGGATGTCGAAGTGGATATGAAAGACTTCCACAGTGATGTTGAGAATTTTCCAAATCTAGATAAACACCAATCATTCAATGCACCTGATGTCATAGTTGATGAGGATTTGGAGGTGATAGATACACAGTTGTTTGAATCAGCTGGTGTAGAAGAAGACGAGAGGAAGAAGTTGATGAGAAGATTAAACAAACCAACCACGTGTTCATCAGGAGTAGTACATGAAACTGCATTCCTCCTGGGTCAAATATTTAAATCCTCATCAGAAGTGAAGGCCTACATTAAAATGCATTCAATTCGAACTAGGAGAAACATTTACTTTGCAAAAAAAATGATAAAAAGGGAATTAGGGCAAAATGCAGGAGTGTGGTCCCGGAAATGACAGGTGGGCCATGGACAAAATGCATAATCAAATGCAAGGACAAAACAGTCAGGTCACAAAAAGCAACATGCCCTTGGGTGGTATTAATTTCTAAATCTGATGAAGAAAGCGATTGGATGGTGAAATGTAACAACCCAAATTTCGAGTCCAAAAATTTCATTTTTAATTAATTGATTTATAAAACTCCCATAAAAAACATAGTAAAGACATATCATTTCGTAAAACTAATATCTCATGTCTGAAAACCAAACCATAAACATAATAATGTCAGGGTACAATCCCAAGAATCTCGTAATGCGGAAACCCAATGTGTGTGTGTATGATGTGCAACTATCGCGCCAGCTCCTTCCCCTTTGCTGAAGAGGTACCTGAAACAAAGCTGAAAACTGTAAGCACGAAGCTTAGTGAGTTCCCCCATCGTACCGCATACCATACAATCACATAACATACATATATTGTCAGGCATATTTGGGTGTCCGACCTACCCCTTCGGTCCTCTCGACCGAATACTGCCTAGCATATATGGGTGCTGGCCTCCCCTTCGGTCCTCTCGACCGGATACTGCCTAGCATATCTG